CAGCTGCAGGGCCGCCCCTGACTGCCACGCAGATCAAACAGGAGCCAGCTGAAGAGTATGAGACCCCGGAGAGCCCGGTGCCCCCAGCCCGAAGCCCCTCACCCCCTCCCAAGGTGGTAGACGTGCCCAGCCACGCCAGCCAGTCAGCCAGGTGAGCGGCCGTGGCCGTGGGTGCGGGTGGGTCTGGAAGCGGAGGGCGACAGGGCCCTTGCGTTCCCGATCGCCGTGCTATTACAGTTAGGGACACAAGCTGGTGGTGGGCTGCTCTCGGGACACAAGCCGGGGTGGGGTGGGGTGGGGTGGGGTGGGGTGCTGCCTTGGAGCTCACAGCTCTGCGCCCGGCAGGTTCAACAAGCACCTGGACCGTGGCTTCAACTCGTGCGCGCGCAGCGACCTGTACTTCGTGCCGCTGGAAGGATCCAAGCTGGCCAAGAAGCGCGCGGACCTGGTGGAGAAGGTGCGGCGCGAGGCCGAGCAGCGCGCGCGCGAAGAAAAGGAGCGCGAGCGCGAACGGGAGCGCGAGAAGGAGCGCGAGCGCGAGAAAGAGCGCGAGCTGGAGCGCAGTGTGGTGAGTGCGTCACAAGGTGCGCCGCGCGCCTCTCCCGGTCCCGGGCTTCGCCACTCCGGTCGCTTCGCCACCTGGCGGAGGGGAGGAGCCGCTGCAGCCCAGAAAGCTCAGGCTTCCAGGCAGGAGGAAAAGAAAGCTGGGAGTGGGGTGAGGCATTTTGGCTTTCCACCACTGAGACCCGTCGGGCAGCCTGGGGTCGGTAGCTTTCCGTAACTGCAACTCTGACCCCGCTGCTTCCTGCATTCTACAGAAGTTGGCCCAGGAGGGCCGTGCTCCGGTGGAGTGCCCATCTCTGGGTCCAGTGCCCCATCGGCCTCCCTTTGAGCCTGGCAGCGCTGTGGCTACAGTGCCCCCTTACCTGGGTCCTGATACTCCAGCCCTGCGCACTCTCAGTGAATACGCCCGACCTCACGTCATGTCTCCTGGCAATCGCAACCACCCATTCTACGTGCCCTTGGGGGCAGTGGACCCGGGGCTTCTGGGTTACAATGTCCCAGCCCTGTACAGCAGCGACCCAGCTGCCCGAGAAAGGGAGCGGGAAGCCCGTGAACGTGACCTCCGTGACCGGCTCAAGCCCGGCTTTGAGGTGAAGCCAAGTGAGCTAGAACCCCTACATGGGGTCCCCGGGCCAGGCCTGGATCCCTTCCCCCGACACGGGGGCCTGGCTCTCCAGCCTGGGCCACCTGGCCTGCATCCTTTCCCGTTTCATCCGAGCCTGGGGCCCCTGGAGCGAGAACGGCTAGCGCTGGCAGCTGGGCCAGCCCTGCGTCCTGATATGTCTTACGCGGAGCGGCTGGCAGCTGAAAGGCAGCATGCAGAAAGGGTGGCAGCCCTGGGCAATGACCCACTGGCCAGGCTGCAGATGCTCAACGTGACTCCCCATCACCACCAGCATTCTCATATCCACTCTCACCTTCACCTGCACCAACAGGACGCCATCCACGCAGGTAAGGCGCCCTTTTACCTTGCCCTCAACTGCGTTCTGCCACATCCCGTAACGTTCTTCCGTTTCTGACCAGAACCTCCTTTCCTGTCTGGCATCAGTCACCCTCTCCTGAGATTACTGTTCCCATCTTTGCTTCCGCGCTGTCTCGTGCGCTCTTCATAGCCCAGCCTTCTACCTTTGATAACAGACCAAGCGGGACCCTTTTGGAGGGCCGCCTCCTTCTCTGCCTTCTCTGAGCCCCTCACATACCAATGTTCTTGTACCTTTGTTGTCAGCATACCCTTTCCTTACATCTAGGACCCTACTGTGTTTCTGCCCATCTGTAGATTTAGACCCTTTTTAGGAAAAAGCCCATGTAAGTTTGGTTTTGGTGCCATAGGCAATAATGAGCTTCACTCACTGTTTTACTGTAGCTCTTATGGCCTGGTTGGCCGTAGACTCTTTCATTTTGAGTTCCTTGTTTCTTCTCTCCCTCCTCCCTAGTTAGAACATTTATTTATTTATTTATTTAGTAAGTATGCAACTGGCTTTTGGCATTTTCATACATTGAATTCTGCTCATATTCACCCCACCTGTCTATCTTTTTCCCCTGTCTCACTTCTTAAACTTAAAAATTAGTTTTCTAAACCTATCCTTCGTCTCTTCAGAGTACTCCATTCTGTTCCCCCCTCCCCCCGCAGACCTCTCTGCTAACTGTAATCTGTCTTCAGTCATCCGTGTCTCTCTCCAGCAATTTCTTCTTTCTCTCCCAGAGGACCTCTAGCTCTTGCATTCTGGCTTCGTCCTGCTTTGGATCCCTTGGCTGTGTCTTCACAGGCTAAATCCCTCCACTCCAGTGCATAGTTGTCCCTTACCCTGCCTCCTGGTGACGTTCCTTTCTCTGCCCTCCAGCCTCCGCCTCGGTGCACCCTCTCATTGACCCGCTGGCCTCAGGGTCTCACCTCACCCGGATCCCCTACCCAGCCGGGACCCTCCCTAACCCCCTTCTTCCTCACCCTCTGCACGAGAACGAAGTTCTTCGCCACCAGCTCTTTGGTAAGGATGGAGACGCTGAAGTGCAGGCAGGCCAGAGCCGAGGGCTTAGGGTGTAGAGGTGGACCTAATGGGGTTCGAAGAGAGCCAAGGTGAGCTGTAATAGGGAGACAGGCTGAGGTCCTTCCAATAGAGAGAGGTGCACGCTCTAGGACCAGGCAAAGAGGTTGGGCTTCAGTTCCATTCCACCCCTGGCAGATTGTAGGGTCGGTGATGTAACGGCATTGTAGCCTTAGTCTCCTCTGTCTCTGAAGTGGCCGACTGTTCCTATCCGTCCATCACATGCTCCCGTCTTTTCTTCTCGTAGCTGCCCCTTACCGGGACCTGCCAGCCTCCCTTTCTGCTCCAATGTCAGCAGCCCACCAGCTGCAGGCCATGCACGCACAGTCAGCTGAGCTGCAGCGCTTGGCGCTGGAGCAGCAACAGTGGCTGCATGCCCATCACCCGCTGCACAGCGTGCCCCTGCCTGCCCAGGAAGACTACTACAGGTACTACAGGTTGCCCCCAGAGCGCGGGGAGGCGGGGTATGGGTATGGTACAACAGGGTACCAGGCCCTATGGAGGGGGACCCTCCTTTCTCAGTCTCATCTCTCCCATGCCTTGCCTCTTGTCTAGTCACCTGAAGAAGGAAAGCGACAAGCCGCTGTAGAACCTGCGATCCAGAGAGCACCCACTGCTCTTTCATCCAGACCTTGGAAGACTCCCCCAACCTTTAACTCCCCCCCCCCAAGCCGAGGAGAGGGTGCTGCCTGCTTGCAGAGCTTCTGCAGCTGGGCAGAGGGAGGGAGGGAAGAAGGGACAGACGAGGTCAAGGCCCCGGGGTTGTGTGCAGAGGTGGGAAATGGCAAGGGTGGGGACAGAAAGTGCACAGTATCATGGACCAGGTCCCTCTTCCTTATCCCCTGCTTTTCTTCTCCTCTATGCCCAATCCTTGGTGGTCACTGCTCCTCCCCTAACCCGTTGGTGTGATTATTTCATCTGTTAGATGTGGCTGTTTTGCGTAGCATTGTGTGCTGCCCCTGCCCCATCCCCGTGTGTGCACCCCCCTCGGCGATGTGTGCCCCTTGCCTGTCCCACATTAATAATTTATATATATAAATATCTATATGATGCTCTTTAAAAAACATCCTGACCAAAACCAACCAAACAAAAACATCCTCACAGTTCCCCAGGAATATGTCTGTGACTTGTTTTTGCGGGGCTGTGGGTCTGGTGGGGGTGGCTAAGGCAGGGGTCTGATTATCTTGAGGGGTGGGAAGGGATGGGGTTGTCTTGATTGTGGGTCCTCAGCTATGCTTAGGGGGTGCCTCTGATTTCTCTCACAATTGGGAAGGTAAGGCAGCTGAAGCCATTGAGAGCAAGAGCAGGCCCACAGTGAGCATGAACAATCTAGAAAACTACTGGGATCCAGGAAGCACTATCACTCATCTAATGTGCCATCAGCATGCTCCAGAAACAGAGTTTCCAAGATCTGATTCCCTTTCCATAGCGTGGTTTGATAAATGGTTTTGAAACAGTTGGATTTGCATAACTTCAGTAGGTCAATAAGATTGGTATTGCTGACTTTTTTAAGATTTATTTTTATTATACATACGGGTTCATGTCTGTGCCCATGAATGCAAGGGCCCAACAGAGACCAGAACAGGGTGTGGGATCCCCTGTAGTTTGAGTTACATGCAGTCGAGAATTGCCAGGCAGGGTGAGCCATCTTTGCATTTTTAATGAGGCAGGGTCTTGTAGCCCAGGCTGGCCTTGAACTTGTTCTCCAGCCTCTCAAGTTTTGTGCTAGCGTCACAGAAGCACACGACTTTCCGGATTACCCTTGCAGTTTGAGAAAGGGATGGGTGGCAAGAGCCTGTAAGGATGAAAATACAAGGCATTGGGCCACATCGGCTTTCACTCCAAGCTTTTATTATTGAGAAGCCCTGTTTTCACTCATAACAACGAAGGGGCTGTGATTGGCTGTTTCCAGCCAATCAGCACTGTGTAATTTGCATATCCCTCTATCAAACGGTTACAAACTCAAGAAACGACCGGTTATAGTTAGTCCTCTGGAATATTAGTTACCGAATTGAGTGAGAAAAGTGTGTTTTATTACCCGCATATTAGTGGGTGGTGGAGAAACTGGTACGGTGATCTCACCCTCACTGAAAGTGGAGTTTGTGTCCTTCCCGCGCTCGTCGCACACGATGCTCGTGAGTGTTACAGCTCTTTTAGAATTTGTCTAGCAGGTTTTCTGGCTTTTGTCGGAAAACCCCTCCCAACCCAATGGTCTATAAAACAGTGGTAGTTTTGTCTTAGTGGCTTATGGGCTCGTCCTCACTGTAGGAAGTGCGTGAGTGCTGGGTCCACGCTCAGAGACTTCCGCTCTGCGTGATCCGTCTTCCCTTCCGCCTGCACTGCTCCGGCTGCCGCGCTAGGAGGCTGCTGGCGTCTGCTTTCTCCGGATCCGTTCCTATTTATTAGTCAAGTTGCAACTGGCATTCTATGGCGTCCGCCTCGGCCCAGCCCGCGGCCCTGAGCGCAGAGCAGGCCAAGGGTGAGGAGCCTAGTCTGGGCGTGGGCAGCCTTTAGGGGAGGGAGCTGTGCTCCCCTGTCTCCAAGCGGGATCCTTGCCCATTATGACGAAGGGTTGGGAGGACGAGCTTGTCGAGTTGCTGTCCTCCTCGATCCACTAACTCTGCTTCTTCCCTTCTTCCTGTGGGTTCGCCCGCCATGCTCCACGGACCTCGCTGGGATGCTCCCGTCTTTCAGTGGTTTTAGCGGAAGTGATTCAAGCGTTCTCGGCCCCAGAGAACGCCGTGCGCATGGACGAGGCCAGAGACAATGCTTGCAACGATATGGGGAAGATGCTGCAATTCGTGCTGCCAGTAGCCACACAGATCCAGCAGGAGGTTATTAAAGCCTATGGCTTTAGTTGCGACGGGGAAGGTGGGTCCCACATGGAATGGCGATGGGATGGATTAGGGGTGGGGCTCATGATCAGTGGCCCCCGAGTCGTCGACCTCTTTCTCGCCACTGGGCGGCAGTCACATCAAACATTGGCACTCAGAGCTCAGGGCCTATCCAGAGCGTTTTTTCCCTCCCCCTTTCTCTTTAAAGTACTGGATCTTGAATTACCCAAGGCCTTATGTTAGACAAGCTCTCCACCACTGAGCCATTTCTACTCAGCTTCCTTTGAGTCAGGGTCTCACTAAGGTCCCAGACTGGCCTTGGACCTGAGACCATCCTTTATCAGCCTTCTGACTAGGGGATACTGAGTAGGCTTGAGTGACCTGGACTCTTGTCTGCCTGACAACAGGCTTCTGCAGTTCCTGCAAGGCGTTCTAGTTAATTGGTTTGGTGTTGGAGATTGAGCGCTCTCTTCCCAAGGCCATGTGTTGATTGATTGATCTGGCCTAGCTACAAGGGACTACTTGTAGACCTGGGGTCTCATTTATATTTAGGCTTCTTGAGACAAAGCAACTAGCATGGTTCACCTGAGTGGAAAAAAAACAAAACAAAACAAAAAACAAACAAACAAAAAAACAAGTCTGCTTCAGGACTTCTTTCTTTTTTCTTTTTTTTTCTTTTTTCTTTTTTTGAGACACGGTTTCTCTGTGTAGCCCTGGCTGACCTTAGAATTGGCTTTGTAGACCAAGTTGGCCTCGAATTCAGATTCAGAGAGCCACCTGCCTCTGCCTTTCAAGTGCTGGGATCAAAGTCGTGTACCACCACGCCTGGATGCGTTAGGAATTTTTCCATATTGTCTCCAGTTGTGCCTAGTGAAAACTGGGGTGGGGTTGGTTGAAGCCCTGTGGGACAGCAGTGTGACCTGTCTTTTGAAGATGGCTGCATGGCTTCTACTACTACAGGGAAACCCCGCCCCCCCCGTCCCCCACCCCCGTCCCTGCCTTGGCATGCTGGTCCCCAGCAGGTGTCCTTGCTCCCTCTTGCAGGCGTCCTTAAGTTTGCCCGCCTAGTCAAGTCTTATGAAGCCCAGGATCCTGAGATTGCCAGCCTGTCCGGCAAGCTAAAGGCCCTGTTCCTGCCACCCATGACACTGCCACCCCATGGGCCAGCTTCCGGAAGCAGTGTGGCTGCCTCCTGATTTGTCCTTGTCTGTGCACCACTGCTAGGGAAGAAGACCCTGTGCCCCAGAGAATAATAAATGTGCTTGTGACTAAACTTTGGTGTCAGTCATTTGTAGTCCTGGCTACCCCCTCTTGTTCCTAGCGACTGCCTCTGACCTTTGGCCTCCTTTCGCCTTTGCTGGGACCAGCCTTGCTCTGGAGAGGGCCTTTCCACCTTTCCTCCCAGGCAGGAGGCTAAACGGGCCTCTTGACATTCTGGGATATTTGTTCACAAAGGTGGTGGCACCTCCTACGAGGCTTTTCCTTCGGTCCCTCCGCTTTCCAGTGTGAGAGAGGTACTCTGCTGGGGGCGGTCCCTTGGCTAGAGTTACTTCCTGGGCTTTGCCCCTACCCGCCCTCCTGCTGCTCTGTCAGTTTGAGCTCCAGGTAGGAGAGCAGGTGGCTCCTCCCCTCCCAAGAGAAGTCGGCCCGCCAGGCCCGAAGCCTGCTGGGCCGCCTCGGGCCTCTGGGGAATTTGGCTGAGGTGGCCGGTCTCCGGCCAGCCCCGCCCCACAGGTCCTTCCCTCGGAGACCTGTAGGCCAGGGGCTCGTCCTCTAAGTGCTGTAGGTTTGACAGACTGGAGGAGGAAGTGGCTGCGAACCAGAATATTCTTCCTGAAGGTCTTGTCTGGATCCCTGAACAGCTGTGCTACTCGATTGGCCCCGCCCCCATCGCCCTTTGCCTGTGACTTCCCCCACTCCTCCAGGGAGATGCTGTCCCGAGGGTAAGTCCCCTGTGCCACCTGTGTCCCACAGACTCTGTTAGTTTGGGCAAACGGGCATTGTTCACACTCTCAACAAGTATGCCGCCATAAACAGTCACCACCATCACCCCAGTCCTGGGTCAGCTTCCTGTCCCTGTTAGCTTCCCTTCTCACAAGAGCCAAGACCCCCAGGCTCATTCATATTCCTCTGCCTCCTTTTTCTTCTAACACCCCCCACCCTGAAGAGTATTTATCTTTTTTCGTTTTTAACCCCTGCTTCTGCCTCCTGCCTAGGACCTGTCCCCACTGGGTAGTTCTTACCTCAGACGGCACATTGGAGGAAGCTCTCCCACTCCTAGGCAAATTCCCCCTTCCTTCTGACCCCCCAAAGGGAGCAAACTAAGATAATAAATGGTGGCCATCATGGTGGGCAGGCGCCACTTACAACAACGGTACACACTCCTGTACGAGGCAGACATGATCTCTGTTTAGAGAGCTGGCCTTCCAGCCAGAGATGACAATGAATCAACAGGTCATAACTAGGGTTGCTTCAGATGACTGAAGTTTGAACACCCAGGAAAAGAAATGAAGAAGGTGCCAGCAGGTGATGTTTGCTGGAGGTATAACTGGAAGGCCACAGGAGGGCTTCCTGATGAGGTGACATTTGAGCTCAGACCTGGTGATGAGACAGAGACAGCCATATTGTGATCAGCAGAAATAACAAGTGTGAACCCAGAAGAGCAGGTGCTCATCCCAGGCAGCCTACTGAGTGGAAACCCACTCAGGCAGTGCTGGTAACTTTGTGGATTGCTTGTGCCAGAGTCCTGCTGACTTTTGCTTCTCATACTGGTGAGCCTTTCTGTTTGCTGTCTTCTTCCAGTGTGTGTCTTGTCACTTTCAGCCCCGAGGCTGGCACTGGGTCTTTCCAGCTGACTTGGCAAGGCATCTGCCAGTACAGAACCTGTGCTTGATTCTTCAGCCTGGACTTGAAGGCGGCTGTCTCTGGGGTCCAGCCCCTTGAATACTTAGGCTCAGCTGCATTGATGGCCTTACACTGAGCAACCCAAGTGCATGTTATGCATGCCACCTCTGTGTCATGGTCCAGCTGCCTGTGGGGATGACCTGCTCCTTCATCTCCCAGCATGCTTTGCTGTGCCAGCCATCTGCTTTAGGCCTGCTATAGCAGTGTTGTGGCAGACAACTCTCTGGCCACAGACGGCTTTAAGTTTTTTTTCACCTTCCCACTCACGACTCACTCAAAGCTTGTGACTCTGGGCAAGTTACTTAACATGTCTGAGTTTTTGCTTTTGTTTCTAAAATTGGGATAGTAACAAGTAAACAGTATCGTCATGAACATTAACAATAATACAGTTGTCTCAGCCGGGTAGGGTACAGTGGTGTGTGACAATACTAGGGAGGCTGAGGTGGGAGGGTCCTGAGTTCCAGGCTAGCCTGAACCACAAAGTAAGATCCTGTCTGAATAAATAAATAATAGAAACAAAGAATAGGGTTATGGTCAGTGGTAGAATACTTGACTAGCATAAAAACTGGAGTTGGATCCCTTTCACACTAAGTAAAAAACAAACGTGAATAAAATAGAATAGAACACAGTAAGATCATCATCTGCTGGTGCCCATGCTGGATTGATTCCAGGGTGCCCAGAAGACACTGAACTGTACAGGTGCATTTGCATGGAGCCTCCACATGTACTAAGTAATGCATATTTTAAATCCTCTCCGAGTACCTATCTAGTTCAATGTAAATGCTATGCAAACATCATACTGTATTATTGAGGAAATTATGGCAAGGGAGAAAGGTCTGTACCTGTCCATAGAAGCATAGGTTTTTGTCTGTAGTTGGCCAACTCCACAGAGGCAAAAGCAGCAGGCAGAAACCGTTTTAAAACATTACAGCTGATGACATGAAACCATACCACTTAGCAGTTAGTTACATAATGAGTATGGCCTCCCAAGGGCTGGCATGAGCCATCACACTTGGTCTTTTGTCCCAGGCTTCAGCCTCCTGAATAGTGGGATTATAGGTATGACCCACCACACCTGGTTGCTTTGTTCGATTTTTAGGTCTGAATTTAGGAAATCTTGTTGAACTCATTTATTAGGCGGGGATACCAAGGCTCAGAGAAGTCCAGTTACTATATAAGATTGTTGCATCTTGTCTTTGGTACCCAGGGCCTGTCTTCCTTGAATCACCATTGATTTTGAGGTCTTCTTTCATCCCTTGTTTCTCAAAGGAATTTCTGTCTCTTCTAGATACCAGGCACTTGCATTTAGGACTATCAGCCTCCTTGAGCCTGCTTAAAGCAAACACAAAATCTCTATGTCCTAGTTGGCCAAGGGCTCAGATAGGATGACTGTGGTATGTTGTCCTAATGTTCCTCCAACTCCAGGGCTCTGTGCCTTGCTTCTGGGGGACTGCCATTATTTTCCTGCCAGAGGATAGCAGGGGTGATCCATCTTATTGGAGTGTCTCATTTTCCGGCTTGACACTTTAAATACACTTGAAGGACCAGGGCATTAGGAGCCTGGTAAGCTCTTTTGAAGCAAGTGGGCTTAACTTTGGAATGAAGAGTCCTAGATCTGGTGCAGTCAGTGTGGTGCCAAACAGGTACCTGGAACTTCCTGTGTCCCTGTTGTGTTGGGATCTGCCCCCAGCGAGGTATCTATATAGATGGACACATGATGGGGTGCATGTGAATTGTGCCTCTATATAAGGTATGCTTACTCATCTGCATGCAGGAGCAGACCAGGGAGCATCCATGTAACCATGTTATGTAAGTGTACTAATGAGTTTTCTCTCTGGATACTTCTCTGGGTTGGACTCTGAAGGTTGGGATGGGGACAAGCCAGGTTGCTGGTGGATCCCCCTGTGCTGGAACCTACTTTGCATGTGATCTTCCTGACCCTTGGGATGAGCTTAGTCCATGAGAGTTCCGGATCTTTCACAGTATGTATTCCAGCATGTAAATTCCCAATGCTGTTAGCAAGAAGAGAAAGGGAGGGAGAGGTAGGTCAAGGGATACATGATGTCTTCAAGAATGATAAAAGACTTGTCATAGAGGGTTGGTGTTTGTTTGTTTGTTTGTTTTTTTCTAAACACGGTCTTGCTGTGCTGGCCCGGAACTCTTTATGAAGCCCAGGCTGGCTATAAACTTGTACTTATCCTCTTGCCTCTGTCTTCCAAGTGCTGGAATTACGGATGTGTGCCATTGCACCTAGCAAGACTGTGAAACCCAGGGCTCTCTACAGTCTAAGTTAGCACCTGTTGGTTTTCATATCCTTTTATTTTTCCTATTTTTGAGAGATAACATATATGCTATGAATACATGTTAAGCATACAACTAACTATTCACTTATTCATGACTTTAATGAGTTTGGTGCAGAGATGGACTCTAGGGCCTTATGCAAGCTACCCCTGAGCTACACCTCACAAATCTTACAGTTTTGAAAAAAGGTGTAAGGGGGCCAGATGTGGTGATGATGCTTATCCCCCCAGCTACCAGAGACACTGAGGCAGGAGGATTGCAAGTTCAAGGCTACAGAATGATTTCCAGATTAGTCTGCGCAACTTGGTGATATACCCTGTCTCAAAATAAAACATAAAAAGAGAGAGAGCTGAGGGTGTGGTTCAGTGGTAGAGCATTTGCCTAGCATATTTGAGGTCCTAGGTTCAATCCCTAGGGCTGCAGAAATAGAAAAATGAATCAAGTGAATAAGAAGAAGGAATAAGGTGAGGGTTTGCCTTAGTGATGCTGCCTGCATAACGGAGGGACAGGGCTCTTCTTTCTTTTTTGAAAGAGTCTCACTGTATAGCACTGGATGTCCTGGAAATCCCTATGTAGTCCAGGCTGGTCTCAAACTCAGACATCTACCTGCCTCTCCCTCCCAAGTACTAGAATTAAAGGCATGCACCACCATGCATGCCTAGGGCCTGGGTTGTAATCCCAGTATGGCAAAAATACCAAAACTAACCAACCAAAATACCCAAGAAAATAACCCCCCCCCCCAGAAGGAGCCACCCTGTCCTGCTTTGTTCTTCAGCAGCCTGTTGTTCTCCCAAAGGAAGACACCCATAGGAGTTTTTTGACTCCTCTGTTGGGCTGGTTATTTTCCCCCTGGTCTTGGTTTGGTAGTATTTGATTTCTTCTTTTTTAATTTATACTGAGGATTACATACACAGGCCATCATAAGACTTTGGGCTGAGAGCTCCTAAAGTTACCATCCCTGTGAGCATCTTCCATTGTCACCAACCCTAACTTCCAGGACACACACACACACACACACACACACACACACACACACACACACACACACCCGGCTCAGAGTCAGAATAG